GTAGAGTAAAACATGTATATTACAGCATGCAGATGTAGAGTAAAACATGTACATTACAGCATGCAGATGTAGAGTAAAACATGTACATTACAGCATGCAGATGTAGAGTAAAACATGTACATTACAGCATTAAAACATGTATATTACAACATGCAGATGTAGAGGAAAACATGTACATTACAGCATGCAGATGTAGAGTAAAACATGTACATTACAGCATGCAGATGTAGAGTAAAACATGTATTCAAAAATGTGTTTTTTGTTTAATTTCGCGCAAAATTACTCAAGGGCTATCTGCTTTAGCCGTTCCTAATTTTGAAGTGATAGACTAGAGGGAGAGCAGCTAGTCAAAATCAACACTGCCGACTCTTGGGCTACCTTTACCAACGAGCAGTGTAACTGATTGTAACATTATAACGCCCTCACAGCTGAAAGAGCGTCTATTTTCGGTGAAGGGTTTCGATTCCACGACCTTCAGATTACTAGTCGAGCACCTTATAATATAACCCACCAGGCCATGCCAAGTCCAGTACCCACGACCTTCAGATTACTAGTCGAGCACCCTATAATATAATCACCAGGCAATGAGACCAAAGAAAACGTTGTCATACAAGCTGTGTTCATAACTTTTCTCAGTTAAAAGTACTTTCATAAACGTGGCTGAAATATAGTTAAATTAATCTAAGTCTCAGTTACTTCCAGGATTTGAGGATTAATTTAGATTAATGTTATTTAAAATACATTAGGGGTGCCTTGTACATGTCAGCCAATAAGAATTAGTCTGATTCTTGAAACTAGATTTAATCTAATCTCGTCTAGAGAATATATATTTTTTGCACAATGTATTCAAGATAACTAGAACTTGATGATATTTTTTGTCTCAAGATCTTCTTGAGTTATGCACGAACAACTGACTGACCGTTCGTTTCACTGGTTCCCTAAGTTAGTGTAGTATTTTCCTTCTAGATGTGATAATATCGTTAAAACAGCAGAAGTTATTCAAGCTGTGATGGTGGTAACTGTAGTGTAGAATCCCCACGTCTCAGTTCAGTGATTACCTG